CAGCTGGTAAATATTATATTATATTATAAAATAACTTTTACAACACATTATCTAATTAAATAAATTTATTTTTTTGCATTTATAATAACAATTGAAGGTAAAATAATTTATAAATTTATCTTTTTTATAACTTTTAAATGAATGTCTATATAATTCTATTTTATTTTGAATTTTTTATAATGAAATAATAAGATAACACTAAGGGGTTTAAAGAAAGAAAAGAAGAATATGGAACCTGTTCTGTTTGTGCAAAATATAACACTAATTACCAGTGGTGTCAATCATGTGATCCTGAATTGTTAGCTCAAAGTTGGACTAGCAGTGGTAATGACAAATTGGATGAAATAATCAGAAATACACAGCTTAAAGCAAAAGGGTTTGATAGTTATTATTACCTTGAATGGATTCCTTATGACCAACTCACAGTTAAAAAAGAAATAGGTGAAGGTGGTTTTGCAACTGTGTACAAGTGTTATTGGTCAAATGGTCCTAGATATATTGGTAATAATAAAAGATATTATTGTAGTAATGGTGCTGTAGCATTAAAAAAGGTTAAAAACTCTCAAAATATTTCTGATGAGTTTTTAAAGGAGGTGAATAATTTGATATGATTAATTGACAATTAAATTAATTAATGGTTTTTAAATAATATATTAATTTTTTATTGATTTTCATAAAGCTTAAAAACCACATTAAATTTATAGGACCTTATCACAAGGGTGTTGTTAATATTTATGGCATTTCACAAGATCCAAATACAAAAGAATATGTTTTTGTAATGAGATATGCAGCTGAAGGAGATTTTAAAAAATATTTAAAATCAAATTATGCAATACAGAAAGGATGGAATGATAAAATTAAAAATCTTTATAATATTATCTCAGGTTTAAATGCACTTCATCAAGAAAAACTTATACATAGTGATTTTCACAGTGGTAATATTTTATATTTTCAATATTTATCTGAGACAATGATTGCAGATTTAGGGTTATCAGGCCCAGTTGATCAAGAAACATCAACCAAAAATGATATAGTTGGAGTATTGCCATATATTGCACCAGAGGTATTAAATAAGAAACCTTATACACAAAAATCTGACATCCATAGCTTTGGGATTTTAATGTCAGAAACATCAACATGTCAACAGCCATTCAAAGATCAACCACATGATATAGATCTTGCTTTCAAGATCTGTAATGGCTTAAGGCCTAGTTTTTCAGATAATACTCCAGAATTTTAAGTTAGCATATAAATGCACAGATGCTGACCCTGAAAAAAGACCAACAGCAGATTAAATTTTAAAAATTATTACTTTTGGAAAGATGCAATTGAATCTAATATTTCTAGTTATTCTGAAGAACAGCTTGATGAATTAAAAGAAATAAGAAAAATATTTGAGGAAGCAGATGAAAAACCCTTTAATCCTTCAACAATTATGGCAACTGTTCATCCAAATGCTATTTATACAAGTAGATTATTGAATTTTACAAATCTTCCTCAACCTATAAACTCCAACAAAGTTACAATTATTAGTAATAATAATGGTAATTATCTAATTTATTGTTATATTTAATCTTAATTATTTATTATATGATACTTTAAATTATATATTCTAAATTATAAATCAATACTATAGAATCCAAACAAATTGAATTAACTATGCCAGATTCCAAACAAATTGAATTAACTATACCAAATGACTTTATGAATAAATTTCATTCATCTGATTATTGAAATTTTCACATTAGTTTTTTTATTATTATAAAGAAGTGTTATTTATTATTTTATTAGTATTTTATATTCAACATTTATATACTGTTTTAACATTTTTATCATCTATAGACACTATAAATAATAATGAGATAAAAATCTGCAAATCTCAATATTGTTTATAATAATATGCCAACAACGTTAATACAATTTCTTCCAATTTATTTATACTAAAAAATCATAACAACAATTTCTGTAAATGTATATTTATGCTTTACTCTCAACTATCTTTCACTATCATTAGACAATTCCTTATACTAAACTAAGGTTGTGGGCAAAACTCCTCCAGAAATCAATTGACAAAGTTTCAACAGGTTACACATTAATTTTTTATTAGAGTTTCATCAGAGTTTCACATTTGGGGGTTTTGTTAATTGTCAGAGTTTTGACAAGGTATATATTAATTGTTCATTAGAGTTTCAACAGAGTTTTGACAGTCACTAAAAGGTTTCAGCAAGCAACCTTATACTAAACAATACCTTTAGATTTTGCACTATATATCCTGATCACATTTCTTAGTGGGTGCCCTTCAGCTGTTTTCCTCTTTACTACCTCACTAAAAAAGGAAAAGAAATAAAACAATAAAAATAATAGACAAATATAAAATAAGAGAAAATTCATTATGCTCAGGATTAGTGTGAATTCATTGTTGGAGGTAGATTTATTATTATTACAAAAATATAAATTTGAAGACTATTACAAGGATGAGGTTGAGGACAGTGTTATTTATTAAATTATTATGATGATGATTATGATGATGAAAATGATACATGAAGTTGAGAAAGTTACAATGTTATTTATATATGTTAAAGGTTCTATCATCTAGTTCTCCAATTTCTTTGAAATCTTAATTTATCCTAATTAAATGTATTACTTGAACCTTCTATTATTTTCAAGTTATTTCTAGTGATTATTAAATTCCTTTGATTAAGTTTAACCTGAGAATTAAAGGTCTGTTTTATCAAAATTAATTTGGGTTTGACTCAATTCCTAAAATCTCAATTTTTAATTGCATCTGACTCAATTATTTATACAGTTGCACCTGTCTATTTGCATACAGTATATTTGCATAATCTGTTCATTTACATAAAGGTAGCTCAGTTCCATATCAGGACCTATGAAATATTTGCATAATGTAAACATGCATATGCATCCTGTTTCTACTAGGTCCCACTAATGTAAATGGGGTATGGACAATAGTGTTGTGTATATATGAGGTTTCTGGGACAGAAAGCGCTATTTGGTTCTCCAGACACCTGTTTCATACTTTTTTGATAGCATTAATTTTTATAGCTTACATATCCACAAGGACATGTAGGTCTTGATTTCATATCAATTTACTATGTGTTGTAACTCCAAGAAAAAAAAAATTTTTTGTCAAAGTAGTTAACAGAAGAGTGAGTGAAATGAGCAAGATGTGCATAACACATCTATAACAAAACTAGAAAAAATAATAGTTAACAGGAGAGCAAGTGAAATGAGCAAGATGTGTGTAGCACATCTATAACAAAACTAGAAAAAATAGTAGTCAACAGGAGAGCAAGTGAAACAAGCACGACATGTGTAGCACATCTACAACAAAACTAGAAAACTAATAAATTGATAAAATTTTCAAATTAAACATTTCTACTATATATATAAAAAGAAATCAAAAAATGTTATCTTATATCATTATCTATATTGCTAAAGCAATTTCTTATCTAGATGATAGTAGAAATCCATTTGAGGATGGAGATTTAGTAGAGGTCAGAGAGATTTTAGAGTATGTAGAAATACAAAAGAAATATAAGTGACCAAGAGCTAAAGCTATTTCATCTGGGAAATACACTAAAAATAAAGGAGAAAGGGTTCTGGACTGGAGGAGATGTATTATTCCAAAATACAATGAACTAAAGAACTGAAATTTAAATCCTGAGAGCAAGTATTACATTACTGATAGAATCAATAATTTTATAAAAGAAATAGAAGAAATCAAAGCAGAGAATCTTGGAATTTAAAACAATCAGACCACATAATTATTAATTTATTCTTTTATGTCCCCTTTTACCAGGAGTTTTAGGCTTAGGGGGATCACAAGTAGGAACAATTGCAAGTAGATTTGATGCTTCAGATTCAAAGATGAAGTTATGGATTTTGAGATCATCATCATATGAAGTTGCAGACATTATATTTATTTTCCCACTAGACCAATAATAACATGAGTTTTCTTTCCATTAGATTCAAATATAATCAAAAGCTTTCTGATAGATTCAATGGGATCGGCTTTATAAATGATTTTAAATGGAGGTGGATACAAATCACTAGTGAGAATAGAATCAAGCTTTGAAATATCAATGTGTAAATTAGAATGTGATACTTAAAGTTTAATAAAGAAAGGCTACTCTTAATGATTTCAACCAATTCAAGTCCATTAGATTCTTTAAGATATGTAATAAAGGTTTGAACAGCAAGTTCACCAGATTCATAGTCTTCATCAATGACCCCAAGTACTTGTAAATCACCACTTTTAGGAAAACAGCACATTCTATAATGTTATGAATCAATTAATATAACAAAGTCAAGGCAAGATTGAAAACAAGTCCCATCACCAACTTTTTTACGTTCCTTGAAAAGAGGCATTGTCTTCAATTTTTTCTGTTTAGCTGTTAACTTCTTAGGTCGAGCAATAAACTCATCAAAACCTTCATAAGCTTTATGAATGAAATTGCTATTGATAGCAATGATATCTTTATTAGGCTCAAGTTGTTCGCCAAGAGGTTTATAAAGTTGATCCCATAGATTCTATTAGAAAGCTTTCGATTGTATTTGAATCTAATGGAAAGAAAACTCGCGTTATTATTTGGCCTAGTGGGAAGATAAATATAATGTCTGCAATTTCATATGATGACGCTCTCAAAATCTATAACTTCTTAGGTGAAATCTTTGAATCTGAAGCGACAAATCTACTTGCAATTGTTCCTACTTCTGACTCTTATCCTCCTCAGCCTAAAACACCTGGTAAAAGAGGACGTAAAAAAAGATGGAATAATAATTATGCGGACTGATTGATTTAGAATCAATTAATAGTGTACGCCTTTGATTGCTTTTTTTGATATATTAAATTTTAAATTTCTTTATTTTTTCTCTATTTTTATAAAAAAAAAAAGATTTAACTATACAATATAAATACATATTATTACATAAAACAAAAATGTCTCAACATCAACAGCAAAATTATCAACAAATTCCTGATGAACAATTTCAAAATTTCGGTCTGCAGTCTCAACAGCAACAAATTTATGATCGAAAACCTCAACAAATACTTCAGCAACAACAAAATTTCAATCAACAAATTGGTCAACGTAATTATGATCAACCACTGCAACCTTATGTCCAACGCATTCAGAATCCAGTTGAACAACAGCAACTTCGACAACATGCCCGACAACAACAGTTTCAACAAACCCAAAATCTTGATCAAAGTATTATGCCTTTTGATAATTCATCATCGATTATTACAACAAATTTACCATTTAAAAAAATAACTGATAACGATAATGACTTGTTTAGAGTACGCGCTAATCATGCAAAGTTAAAGCAAAGATTTAGACTCTTGGAACAACAAGTTAATCAACCATTAGCAAACATGGCTACACTAGAACATGTAATGTTAGCATTAGCACCACTTGTTGCTCAAATCCCACTATATACTGGTCAGGAACCACCAGATGCTTATATCGATAAAATGGAACAACTATTCACATATGGAACTGCATTAAATGTTGCCGGTTTCAATGCAGCTGTAAAAACAGATATTTTGAAATCGAAAATGTCTGGGAAGTATGCACCAGTTCCTGCACAACACAATGGAAATAATATTGATACTCTAGCTCGATTCAGAGGTTGGCTTAGACATAAATATCAGACTAAAACTGTTGGAAGTCAACTGGCGTCTATCCAGAGATTGACTCAAGAAAAATTCTTGAATTCGGATACACCAGAAACTTATGAATATAGAATTCGCCCATTACTATTAGGAGTTGCTAATGATGATGCTAATTTAATGACATTCATTATGAATCACTTGCCTGATGAACTTTTTACATGAATGAAAATTGCGAATCCAGCAGGAATTAATGAATTTCTCATAGCACTAAAAAATATGTGGCTTGAACATAGACCTTTTACATTTACTAGCCATGATAATGTTCAAACTCAGATTATGCCTGTTATTCAACCAGCTATGCCTATTACGCAACCAGTTACTAATCCAACTCAAAATATCATAAATAGTAATCAACAAGTTATTGACCAGTTAAAATCATTAATAATGCAAAATAAAGCTGTTAAAATAAGAGATCCAATTGCCCCTCCACCTATATTTCAATCACCTCAACAATATAAAGAAGATAGGTGGTTATATGATATGGGCTTGGTTGATGACGAAACTTGGAAAAGATTCTATCCAAATGAACCATTCCAAAGATTTTGTCCAAAGACAGAAAAAGCTAAAAAATATGCCGAGATGAAAGAGTATGCAGAAAGGGGTCTAGAAATAGAGGACAAACGCCCTGATGATCCAATGGAAATAGACTATACTCTTATTAATCTTGCTAGAGAACTTCAAGGTGGTACATCAAAAAAAAATTATAAATTGCGTTTCTAACAAAAAGAAGTCTAAGCCTAAGAAAGTTTCCAAGAAAAAGAAGGCTAATACAAAGAAAGCCAGGCATATCATTTTCAATGAGAGGGATTCTGAAGAGGAGACTGATTCTGAGGATGATACAGATTCTGAGGATGAAGATGAATATGAGGAAGAAACCTATACTACAAATTCTGTAAAAAAAAAAGTCCTGCAATGAAGCATAAACCTAAAAAGAAGATTGTAACTTGGGATGTCTATGAAGCTGATATGAAAGAGTTTAAGAAAGTACTAGAATATCTCATTACAGTAGTAAAAAATCAATCTACCGTAAATGCCTCTTTGAATGAACAACAGCCTGTTGAAAATGCTTCTAATATTCAACCAGCTATTGAAAATGTTAGTGAACCTATGGTATTTAATATTCTTCGGAAACCAGCTAGTGATATAGTGACTATAAAATGCCGAATCAATAAATTAACTATCCCTAGTGCTGTCCTTGATAGCAGTGCAAATTGTTCTATAATGTCATTAAATATCGCCAAAAAAATTGGGACTTGATATAGATAGAAACAAACCCGCTTCTCTTGAAGGTGTTGCTACTGAATCAGATACAATTGGATGGGTATACAATATTCCCATAAGTATTGGCTTCTTTACGTTACTAACTGATTTTATCATTGTTGATGAAAATAAACCAGCATTACTTCTTGGTACACCTTGGCTTGATAAAGCACGGGCAATGATTGATTTCGAGAGTCGTTTACTTTATATAAGAAACTCTAATGATTTGATCTTCAATGTCCCTATATCCATACATAAGTCAAAAAAAAATTTACAATAAATAGATGCTTAACCCAGAAATCTTTAGTAGATCGAAAATGTTTGGAATGTGGAAAGGTTTTCATATACCCTTCAGCATTAAAGCGCCACTTGAATGGTAAAAATGTATCTTGTGGTAAACAAAAAATGGTCCCAATTCATTTGATTTTGGATGAGTAAAAATTAAGAATTAGACATATATTTTTTAAGTAAATATAAAATGTATCGAACTAAAGTAGATTTAGTAACCTGCTATGTTGGTTTCAAAAAGGTTAATTGTAATCTAAGTCCTGGATTCCAATTTTCTATGTGTTCAGATAAAACACTTAATCAACTTGGATTTAAAATTGATAGACCAATAAGCTCAGAAGATAGAGAAATGCAGCAACGCCTGTTGGATGGTCCAAGGTTTCACTTGTTTTTAAATCAGATAAAAAGTGTAAATCAATTATTACTAATACTGAAGTTCTAGTTGTAAAACATAATCATAATATGGATGATGAAATCTTACTTGGTTCTCCTTGGTTTATGGGGTGATCTTTGGATGATGAAGAACTTCAAATCTATACCACTAGAATTGTTATTGATATGCTTGACTGTTGGGTTAGAACAGTCCTTCACATAAAAAGCCTTAGCGGATATAAAAATAAATGGCTTCATATTCCTGTAATTGTAATATACCAAGATTATACTGAAACAGACTCAGATTCTGATACGACTTCAACTTCAAGCTCTGATTTGGAATATAAACATCATATAAGTAGAAAGAAAAAGACAACAAAAAATGTTTACACTTAACGTTAACATTAATTATAATTTAGAGATATAAATGTTTACACATAGCGTTAACATATTTTACATTATGAGTAGACATCTTTGTAATCTAATTTTGTTTATAAAAAGACATTATCTTTATTTCTTGAAAGGTATTGATGAATCGGTTTCTGATTTCTATATATTTTATTCCGATAAAGTTATTGATCCCCTTAGCCCTAGAGATTTAGGATTTCTTATGAGAATGTTTTGCGTAAAATTGCTTCATAGAAGGGTTGGAGATCAAATTCATAGGTGGTATCAGATTTCATATGACGATCTCAATGCTTCTCTATTAGCGTTGGTTTCCAAAACTCGAGAGTTTCGCAACCGTGCGAAAGTCAAAAGGTTTCGCCATAAGTCGAAACTAGTTTTGATTTTTGACTATTGACTTTTGATTTAGTTTTGACATATAACTTTTAATTTTAGTTTTGACTTTCACCTCTTCAAAATAGTTTTGACGACCAACACTATTCTCTATCTAAGATTAGTAATACTATTCATATAGAAATTTCGATTTAGACTTATAAATATTTAGATAAATACTTCTGAAAAAAATATATTAAAACATGTGCGAAAATATTAAATTTAGCAATTTAACCCTTGCCCTTTGTGTATATTCAGTTAAACTTAGCGTAAAAGACCTTGATTATAAACCTCTTGGCGAACAACTTGAGCCTAATAAAGATATCGTTGCTATCAATAGCAATTTCATTCATAAAGCTTATGAAGGTTTTGATGAGTTTATTGCTCGACCTAAGAAGTTAACAGCTAAACAGAAAAAATTGAAGACAATGCCTCTTTTCAAGGAACGTAAAAAAGTTGGTGATGGGACTTGTTTTCAATCTTGCCTTGACATTGTTATATTAATTGATTCAAAGCATTATAAAATGCGCTATTTTCCTAAAAGTGGAGATTTACAAGTATTTGGGGTAGTTGATAAAGATTATCGATCTGGTGAACTTGCTATTCAAACCTTTATTATGTATCTTAAAGAATCTAATGGACTTACTATGTTTGAAACGGTTGAAATCATTAAGAGTAGCCTTTCTTTATTAAACTTTAAGTATCATATGTTATTACCTTCTAATTTGCGCATTGATGTTTCAAAACTTGATTCTATTCTCGCTAGTGATTTGTATCCACCTCCATTTAAAATCGTTTATAAAGTTGATCCCATAGATTCTATTAGAAAGCTTTCGATTGTATTTGAATCTAATGGAAAGAAAACTCGCGTTATTATTTGGCCTAGTGGGAAGATAAATATAATGTCTGCAATTTCATATGATGACGCTCTCAAAATCTATAACTTCTTAGGTGAAATCTTTGAATCTGAAGCGACAAATCTACTTGCAATTGTTCCTACTTCTGACTCTTATCCTCCTCAGCCTAAAACACCTGGTAAAAGAGGACGTAAAAAAAGATGGAATAATAATTATGCGGACTGATTGATTTAGAATCAATTAATAGTGTACGCCTTTGATTGCTTTTTTTGATATATTAAATTTTAAATTTCTTTATTTTTTCTCTATTTTTATAAAAAAAAAAAGATTTAACTATACAATATAAATACATATTATTACATAAAACAAAAATGTCTCAACATCAACAGCAAAATTATCAACAAATTCCTGATGAACAATTTCAAAATTTCGGTCTGCAGTCTCAACAGCAACAAATTTATGATCGAAAACCTCAACAAATACTTCAGCAACAACAAAATTTCAATCAACAAATTGGTCAACGTAATTATGATCAACCACTGCAACCTTATGTCCAACGCATTCAGAATCCAGTTGAACAACAGCAACTTCGACAACATGCCCGACAACAACAGTTTCAACAAACCCAAAATCTTGATCAAAGTATTATGCCTTTTGATAATTCATCATCGATTATTACAACAAATTTACCATTTAAAAAAATAACTGATAACGATAATGACTTGTTTAGAGTACAATCTTTATCACAACCACCACCACAACATTACCATCAATTAGTTTATATTGAAGAGGACTCGCCCAGATCATCTTCACCTTCAATCAATAATGGTCACCATCAACATTATAATTTAAATCTCAATCCTAACTTTAACGAAGACCTTTTAATTGCTATTTCACATCATATGTTGATGATTAAAAATTATAGGATGAAGATCGATCAGCATTATTTTGTACTAGAACAAAATTTTCAATAAGTTAAGACGTTGAAATAATAAAATAATATTTGCCTACTGAATTATTAATTTTATTATTTATCATAAGCATTTTTTTGACGATTTTGATATATTATAAGGACTATCAATCATCTATTATCAATCATTTATTATTTGTTATTATTTTTATTATTATAAGGGTCATTAATCATATATTATCATCTATTATCTATTATTTATTATTTGTTATTATTATATTTTTATTGCTATTAAATGAAGAAAATTTTCCATCAAATATACTAAAATCTTTTAAAACATCAATGATAATAACATCTCCAAAGCCTTTAAGTTTCAAATTCACGTAAATTCTCAGACTGTTTTATCGCGTATAACAGCTTTATGAGTAAAGGCACAATATCTAATTAATATATTTGGATTTATGCCAATACTGTTCTATAATACCCAAGACAAGATATAGATATAATCAATTAAATCAATTTCCGTTCATACTTTTCTTTATGATTCAGCTGAATTTTGTTGCTTCTGTTTCAGCGCTATAAACATATTTTTAGGGGATAAAAAAAAATCTCAAGTAATAACAACATTATTAATATTAGCGCAAAATATTAACAGTATAATTATGAATATGACATTTCAAACACCACAAGAAACTAACTTGAATAAATTTTTTAAAAACAATGTTGCTTAAATTGACTACTACTTGTGCGATTGATTCAATCATTGACACCAAAGCTATTTGTTGTATAAATTTCGATTTCACATACAACAGCCCCATATTAGACAATATATATATATAAACAAAATAAGTCCATCAGACATCATCATTATGTATAGGATTGATATGGTGTTCATTCTAATTCATTTTGATTTAATTAAAAATTATTTTAGAGAAAATAATCAAAATAATCATAAAGAAAGATGTTACATATTAATAGATGATTATAAAATACATGTGTATTCTCGTATTTATATATATTTTCAGTTACAAAAAACGTGAGATACTTATTTTATGTATCGTTTCTATTAAAACAACATTAGTTATCTATAATCGTCGTCGTTATTGCCATCGTTGCGTTTTGAGTTTTAATTTTTTTATGTTTTTATGCTTTAAAAAGCAGAATAAGTGATATAATGATATAAATAAATAATAAATAACAAATAAAAAACCACCTCTTGGTTGCTTGGTAATAATATAGTAACCATTCGCTATCGGTTCTCCTATAAAAGTATATATGGCATGATCTATAATTTGTATTCTAGAACAAATGAATGTAACTTGAAGGAAAAAACTACCTTCTATAATAAACCTTGTAATTTAACGCATATGATTTAACCTGTTGTATTTTTTAGAACAACAATGGGATTTTTACCAGTAACCAACAGATAATATATCTATAAAGATACTCTACTCATTGCCATATAAACTTGATCCTCTGCAAATATTGTTTTATTTACACTGAAAGTAACATGCAATAGAGCTAATCCTTCCATTTTGTGCACAGTCAAGGCAAATGAATTCTGGAGAGGAAATTGTTGACGTGAAGCACGATTACCATTAATTTCAAAATGAGTAGTCATCATTACATTTTCACAATTGATTATTTTTGTCACAAATATCATGCTTGTATAATTTATTATTTAAGAACATCATTATTTGTTATCCTGCCTGAGAAAAAGTGAAATAATACAGGATCTGCGAAGGTGTACTCCTTTTCTTTGAAGTTCTTGAATGAACGATGTAATAAAAAATAAAGTATAGTTCACTCCCTCTATAATAGTCCTTCTGTTTTCAGCAAGAAAATTCATTGTAGAAAGAAACTGTTACAGAATTGATCTCGCAAACAAAATCGAAAATTTGATTTTTCAAAAAATTATTGGAATGGTTAGATGCTTCTTAAACCTTTTCACAAATTGATTTGCGCTGACACAATATTACAAATATAATGTACTTCGTTAAGTTGAGCACACTTTATTAATGACATAATACAAAAAAGAAATAATAATGTTTTTAACTGTCTCCTGAGGAATTCTTCGACCATAAATTACTTCAATTCATCAACATTTTTAGGCATCCTCTTTTCAACATTATTCTTTGTAACGTACCATGTTTACTTGGACTATTGTATCATTCAAAAACCTAAATAAAATTTTAAGCTTCTAATTTCTATTAACCATTTTTTTTTTTTTTAGAAAATTTAAAAGTTAAAAGTAAATAAAAGGCAATGTAATAAACATATTGCTACAATCATATAAATCATATCCAACCACATCTATTACTACCATGTAAATGATGTAAATGTGGAGGTTTGGCATTTCTAATTTATTCGAAAGTTTTTAGTTTTTAAAATAAAAATGATAAATAAAATTATTATTTATTAGAATAAAATTAATATATAATAAATATAATAATAATAAATTAATTATTTTTCTTTACTAATTTATACACTTCATATTCTTCTAACGGCTGAACACTCTTATCATCATCCTTAAGATTCAAATTATTTTCATAAGCATATTCATTATAAAAATAACAACAATAAGGTCCATTATTAACACTATTAGTTAGTACCAAATCACGAAAATTTATAGATATTTCATGAAAACTTATATTATTTATTGTCCTATTAATAGGTTGACTAGCACTACTATTTGCATATCCAGGAATTTTGACTCTACTTAATATTGAATTACCAAGTTGATTTTCATCAATTTTAAAAATAAAACTTTTATCCGTTTTAATAGTTTCAATATAATAACCTTCATTTGAAGATTTCCCTTGTATATTCCAACAAACTGGATTATAACCACCTACTACTTCGCCTGTTTCTTTTATTTTCATCAACACTACAGTTTGTTCAATGTTGTAACATTTCTTCTCAAAAACCTCCCTTGAAAAGCCATCTTGAGTTCCACAAAGGATCAACTCAAAATCATATGGAATATTACTTTCATTATAATCGCAATTATTTTGATCAACCCAACCAGAAATTAAAGTTCTTAAATTTAAATTTAATGGTTTTCTTTTTTCAATTCTTGCTCTCGGACCCTTTCGAACAAGTAATTTTGGTTGCCAATTATCAATAAAATAATATTCATGAATTTCTTTGTATACTTCTTTATAAAAAGCCTTTTTATATGGGATGACTTTGTTATAAAAATCTCCTTTAGATATTTCGCTGAATCTTATTAATGGAATAATATCTTTTAACATATTTCTCAATTCTTCGAAATCATCTTTACTCCATATTGAAACATTTTTTTCCAATGTTTCTTTCTTTTGACCTATTCCCCATTGAATGACATGATCCCAAATATTAATCTCATCCAATTTTAAATCATCTCTTTCCAATATAGAAACAAGCATTGGTTTTTCAATTTTTTCAATATTACTAGATTTTAAAATTGATTCTGGGTTTTCATAAACTAATTTATTGCAGTGATCTTGAAGCAAGCTGAACGATTGATGTTTTGATGAAATCTTGTAAACATAAATTAAATTTCGATGAATCCATTCATTTTTTTCATTGATTAAATAATTTTGCAAGTCATCAATCAATTCGTCAAATTTTAAGTCATCGCATGCTTCAAGAAGTTCTAAAATTTCATTTGCGTCCAGATTCTTTATATCAATAATTCCATTGTAAATGTAACTTTAAAAAAAACATTTTTAATTTAGGTAAATATTAATTACTTAAATAATTGATCATTTTATTTCATTGATAACCAAATTAACTTACTTTAAAAGAATTTCAAAAATTTTGGGGGAAATATTTTCTTTTTCAAATAAAATATTTTCATTATCAGATTTTTCAGATAAAACCGTTTTAAAATACAAACACCTTGCTTTTAAAATGGTAGAATGAGCTTTAAAAATTTTAACATTGTTTTCTTTTCCAACTTTGATTTCTACATCATAATAATTTGAACTATCCAACAAAATTGTCAAATCACTTAATATCTTGATAAAATATTTTAATGGTAACGCATTGTCATTGTTAATGATAATATTGTTAATGAGTGTAATATTTTCCAAGGACGAGAAACTGTTATTATCAGACATTTTAACAAAAATTTTTTTTTTAAAAATTTAACATTTATTATTATTATTGTCATTATTATTAATTAATATTAATATAGATGTTTCATTTAATCGCTTGGTTATACGAAATTAGTAATACTAGGGGCTAGAAGTTAATCAATTACAACCGGTTGCAACCGGTTGTAACATAATAACAAGTTGCAAACATCATTGAGGAAGATTAAGATAATGTTGTGAAATTGAAACTATATGAAATCGAAATTTATAATTAAAATTTTGGGGGCGGGATGTTTGGACATGAAATTCTGATTTGGTTTGAATTTCACATACGTGAATTGCAAATTCGCATAGATTTCATTTTCACACACAACAATAAAATAGTCTAATGTCATGGCCTGAATAATGTTATTTTTTTGCTTTTTGCGACAAAGAAGATGCAATCCAAACCCAACTTAAAATAAGTGAACTTTTGTTCTCGCGTAGCAAAAGCTAACATTGCGTTCTCAGTTGTAAGCTTTTTATCAAGAATTGAGGTGAAAATTTGTATTAGATTTTTTTACAAAAGATTTATTATTGCAGTGGTATGCCCGAAAAACTAGTTCACATGACTGCTTAACGGACTTCGAAACATGAACGGCTGTTATTGTGGGAATGAACTCCACACATTTAAACATATGGAACTAGTTCCAATTTTTTTTTTGATAACTTGTACAACTACAAATATTTTGTTTATCCCATGTTGTGCGTGTGTGAAAATGAAATCCGTGTGAATTTGCAATTCACCTACGGTACAGATCATCTATAATCATTAATTGCTTATAAATAGTAATTTGCTGAACCTTAGCATTTTAAAAATTCCGAATTTTGGTATACACTTGAGAAATTGAGACTATATAGGTAAATTTCGTGTAACAACTTTACTTTTTTTAAAGTTCTTTGCAAGAAAGTTTAGCAAACATACTACAGTTGGCGCTCGATATAAGGAAGAGTTTGTTTTGGCAAAAAACTTCACTATATAGTGTGATTCATTATATAAAA